GTACCGATAGACAGCAGTATTATTGAAGAATTTTTGAAAACATTCCAGCATCCTATATTGTAAGTATAACTTCCAGTCGTATTCCATTTCATCGTAATTCTAAAAACTGTAGAATTCCAATGAAAGGCAATTTTCACCAGTGAAATTTTCTGTGTTAATTAATACATTATTTATTTTATTTACGTATTTTTTTCATTACAAATAGTGTAGGCTACAATATTAATATAATAATTTAGACGGTTATTATTAAAAATGAATGTAGAAATAAAATGAGGAAAGATAGTAGTAAAAGTTGTAAACCGAACTTTACATTTTTTTACTTCCTTTAAAGAATTTGCAAGAAATAAATTTTAATAGCTGGTTAATGTAATTTTAAATTTAAATTGGGTGCTTGTTTAAATTTAAGCGTTTCGCGTTCATTCGTACTCACCAGACCGTTTTTGATGTTAGACCAATTTTAATATTAAAATCTCTATTAAAAGATTGAAAATAAGGAAATAAAATGGTCCAATAAGACGTTTTTGACGTTAGTTTGTACCATGAACTATTGTAAAAATGTATTATTTTTTGAAAAAATTAAGAACTTGATCACACTATTGATGATGTAAAATATTTTCTAAAAAAGCATATGCTATTTATGTACCGATAGGCAGCACTATTATTGAAGAACTTTTGAAAACAGCAGAGAGAGAGAGAGAGAGAGAGAGAGAGAGAGAGAGAGAGTGAGAGAGAAAGGAAGAGAGAGAGAGAGTAAGAGAGTGAGAGAGAGAGAGAGTGAGAGAGAGAGAGTGAGAGAGAGAGAGTGAGAGAGGAGAGAGAGAGAGAGAGAAAGAGAGGGAGAGATATTGAGGGAGTACATGACTGGTTATGAAGTAATGAACAGAACTACCTACATACATATTTAAAAATGTAATAAAAAATTAGTGACCGTTAGTCAATGAGTGTTCGGAAATCGTGAGATCCGGTCTGATGTGACTTAGAATTTAAAAAACATTTTCTTTATCGTGCCAACGTTTCGATCTTTAATTAGATCATCTTCAAGGCCTTTCAGCAAAAATGCAGACAACACAAGGCCCTGAAGATGATCTTAATAAAGATCAAAACGTTCTTCATCAAAAAAGAAAATGTTTTAAATAAAAAAAAAAGAAAGAAATCTCCGAATAATCTGTAAATATTATGGGCTTATAAATGTACGTTGTAATTGGAACATTGTTAATTTTGCACTCAAAACAACATGAAAGAAAATTGCACTATGAACACATCTTCCACTGTAGCGTTACTGCAGTGGAAAAACAAACGCATGCGTATGCACACACACACCTGGAAGAAACAAAATATGATTTTAATAGCTAAACCCGGTAAAGAAAAGAAAGACTAAGCAACCAATTATCCGTCTATTAGCCTCCTCTTTCTCACTGGAAAAATATTATTTGGAAAAGCTGCTTATAAATAGAATTCAATTTTGGCTTAACAAAAAGAAAAAACAACCAAGTATGATAATACCCAGTATGGATTCACCCGCAGAGAGGAACAGTTGATGAACAATGGCAATCAAGGCGCAGCTAGGAAAACAGTTGGCTATGAAAAATCAAATACTATTAATTTCAATCCATGTAAGGCCATTGGATTCTGCACGTCGGATGTATATCCTCTTCCAATTAGTGAAAATACCCCAGATAATTTATTTAAACTGTCAAAAGACGATTTGAGAGAACGGATAGCTTCATTGCTTAGTCGACAATGACAAGGTTGGTAAAAAAGCTGTGCCCCAAGGCTCATGCAATGGAACAGCTTCTTGAAGAGTATGTACGATTAGCTTGCAGACATCGAATTTACAGGAGTTTAGCATTTTGCTTATGGAGACGACCTACTCTTAGTTATTGCGGCCCAAACAGAGCGTGAATTTCAAAGCAAATGATATCATGTATATACTTGAAAAATTGCCAGTTGAGAATCGATTTGAATTTTACCTCGAATCTGCAATCATGTCTAGATAATAAGAGATAAAGTCAATTGGTATTCATGACGGGAAAACACATGACCGTAGTTGATGTACGATTACTTGGAGTAAGGTTTGACAAAAAAGGGACTTGGAATACCCTTGTAGCAAAACGTACGAAAAACTCACCTGATACATCCTGTAATCTCTATGAAAACAAGTTCAAACAATGTTTTCCACTGTACTGAAAACACACGCAAAGACCCACACAAACACACACTCATTTATTTTTTTAATACATATAGATAATATAACCAACTATTTGCTCATAAAACATGAGTTTATACCGGTGCTTAACAACAACAATAATTATTTGCATTTGTATTTCGTTTTTCTCGACTCGTATATGTATTAGATGTATTAATTATTTGATAATATGTATTAGACATCGTTCTAAATGTAACGTAGAATAAAAATCCTAATATAAAAAGTTAAAATTTTAAAAAATGAATATGAATTTTTTTTACACAACCGCTTTCAATTGAACGTTTATAAATCAAACAGTTAAGTTTCCGACATAAATTCTCCACACACCAAAAAAGCAACTTTTGTTTCGCAAAACTAGCTGAGGTAGATGAATTTAGTTCTTTTTCGAAGTTCATATAAATACGAGAGCCAGACAAAAACCAATAAAGAAAATAAATCGAAAGCGTTTGTCGTAAATGTTCCGTCGAACTAGTTGAATGAACAATTTCACGGCGCCACGGGTTTTCATTGCCCGCAACGCCTTTCAGCGTAACATGAAGTGTATATCTTATAAAGTAATAAAAAGGATACAACTATCCTTTACAAAACATTTAACATTGCCGATTTTTTATCAAAATATTTAACCAATGTTATATGCCTTTCCAATCATTCAGCTGAATTTTTAACTTTTTTTTGTATTCCGAGGGAGGAATAATCATTTTCACAAATTTTAGAAATTTTAATTGAAAATTACCACACAGCTAGTAAAGAATTTCATACTACGGAAAATGAACTCATTTTTTTAAGGTGGCTAAGAATTATCAACTAACCAAATAACAAGTTGGTTTGTAAAAGCCCCCCCCCAAAAAAAAAAATCAGGTTTTTATTTTAAGGTTGTAATTTGTTTTCTGATATCATAATTTTTTTAGACCAGCAGATTCAATCAATATTGAACTTTACACGTCTGTCTTGATTGATTTTGCTTATTTTTATTATGTATGCCAATTTTTTTATTTTGCACAATTTTGCACGAGTTTTGAATTCGTCGTGAATTTTGAAAAAATCCAGGATAATTATAAAAAAATAAGTTTCCAACGATAAAACTAGAGTGTGAGTACAACTATCGTTTCCAACCAGTGATTTTATATAGTCACTTAGCCTTAAATATTTCTGTATAATACGCACCGTTTTTAAATAAAAATGAGCTTAAACCAAAATTATGTGATAAATATTTAAAAAATAAAGTCATTAGTTGTGTTCTATTATAAGTTTTAGCCAACAATCAAGGTAAAAAAGTGTAATTAATAGTATAAAAATATTAGTCTCTTTATAGAAATCTACAAGATATATATTTAATAATAATAATATCATGTAATAATGATATAATATAGTAATAGTGATTGTGGTGTTCTGTACAACAGCTCGATAAAGTTTACACAACTTTTACATAAGAAAACATATTTTTCATTGATGCTGTTACGAATCGCAATATTATGCCACGTTAATTTAATAATAATCAGTTGGGCATTGTAAAACAATGTAAAAATTTAATACTTTTCATCATTTTTACAATATTTACAATATATTAGGAGACCTTACTATAGTGTGATATGAATTCATATCACGCAATGAATATAAAAGCAAAAGTAAAATAAATTAAATTGCAGTTTCATTCACATGCAGATTACATTATTGCACAGTCTTTCGTGTAGTCATTCCATTGAAGAAACACGATAATCTTAATAGGACAATTATTTTCCGCTTAGCCGGAGGCGTTTTGCAATAACCTTTTTCAAGTAAACTGCCTATAAATAAAACGAATAGGTATTCCAGGAAAAGTTTAAACGGTCAATACGGTCCGTGGCCTTAGATAATTTCTATATCGCACAGTTTCATTTTCAGAACACGACCTAAATATAATAGGGATTTACAAAATACATAGTATATTGCAGATATATATCGATAAAATGTAATCTTACAATCTCAGTGTGTTTTCTTGCAAAAAGCGTTATCATTCCTTTACTAAAATTGTCTATACACAAAACGTTTTTTTTCTCTGCTCTTCGAGTTCCATGATTTTTGATGCAAGGGGGGCTAACTTAGGGGCAAGAAAAAGAAGGTTTCCAAAATTTAGGGTGAGGCGAGCATTTTAGAGGTTTTGCCGATGGAGGTTGAAACGAGAACAGAGGGGACGAGATTTTGGATCGGAGAAAATACGGGATAAGAGGGCAAAGTCCACTTCACTCTGCTCTGATCACAAACAAGTGTATTTCACGAATCATAAATAAATATTTTTAAATTTAAACTGATTTCAATAAATTCAAATTCTATTAATTTTGCGTTTTCTTCAATTGCTGAAAAATTTAAACCAGCGTATTTACCATCATTTATAAAAGCAACATAGAACAAAATTATTTACGGTACTAACACAATAATGGTAACAAAGCGAACTAGGGCATAATAAATTTAATCCGATTCATAACCTGCTCTAAATTGCGTCATTTTATTAATTCTCATATCAATCTCAGAGGTAGATTCACATCAAAGAAATTCTTAAAAAAGAAAAAAGTATTTTGCTATTGATTACAAACTAGAAGTATTTTTATGGTTATATTAATTGCAACACACTTATATTAATATAAAAAAATTAAACGAGAGTAGAAATTCATGAGTTTAAATTTAAAATATTTAATTATGATTCGTGAAATATGCTTGTTTGGGTTCAGGGCAGAGTGAAGTGGACTTTGCCCTCTTTTCCTGTATTTCCTCCGATCCAAAATCTCGTCCACTCAGTTCTTGTTTCAACTTCCATCGGCAAAGTCTCTAAAATGCTCACTTCACCCTAGTTTTTGAAAACCGACTTTTTCCTACACCTACGTTTGCCCCCCCTTACATCAAAAATCATCGAACCCGAAGTTTTTCCCGTAATTTTATTCATTTCCAACTCTATCCACCTTTCCACAATTTCTCTTTTTCCATCTACCCTGCAGGTCATCGTAGGATCACCATCGTAGTCGCAAATGAGGCCCGTGGATCTCCTTCGTTACTTCAGCATACAGTCCACAAAAACCAAGTAAGCCTTCCATTCTTTTCTCCTATTTTCCTCCTTTTTTTATATTTTTTAGCCCAACTAACACTCAACAACAAAAAACAAACTGGACACTATTTTGTAGTTTATTTCAATCTATACAGGGTGTTCAGCAACTCGCTTTGCCAGTAGATTCTACATTCAAAATGGAACCAAAAAGTCCTAATTACCTATGGTCCTAATCTCAACAGTTTTGGACAAATCAGTTGATACTATTAAATACAACGTTAAATATCCAATAAGATGTTGTCAATACTAAACTTTGTTTGATTAAATATGCATTTTAGTAGCCAGAATTTTGAAAAATAATTTTTTTTAAAAGTCGAAAAATTTACTATGGTGATTCTAAACTGCTATTTCCAAACTAGAGGCGTGCAAATTTCAGAATTCCTACTCTATTTGATTTCCTTTCAAGTGGTGTAATTGATTGTCTAATTACTTTTTTCGTTAAACGTTAACGATTAAAATTTAACTAACAATTCATTCTATCACTACATGCTTTTCTGAAGTTTTGGAAAAAATTTTTTAAACCACCATAAATAAATAATTTATATGAAAATTTCTGACCTCGTTTAATTTTGTTTGCACTAAAATGTGTTGTAATTAATATAACGATTAAAATAGTCTGAAAAAATACGAGAGTCCGTTTTTTTGTCCTTGAGCATATTTTTGAACATTTGAAATAACATTCAATTAATTAAGGTTTTAAGTTGAGATAAAAAAGTCAGTGTCACTTAACCGTATTTTTATTAAATTCACTAATATCGTGGTCCGCTTGACCAATTAATACATTACAATTAATTAAGGTTTTTAGTTGAGATGAAAAAAAGTTAATGGCACGAGAGGGGTTCGAACCCACGACCTTCGGCTAGATACGCCGCTGCTCTACCACTTGAGCTATCGTGACTTTAGCTAGCTCAGTAGCGGCGTATCAAGCCGAAGGTCGTGGGTTCGAATCCCGCTCGTGACACTGATTTTTTTTATCTTAACTTAAACCTTAATAAATTGAATGATAATAATTGGTCAAGCGGACGACGAAAAATAGTGACTTTGAAATAACCATTATATATCGTGGTCCCATTGACCAAATAACTTCTTTCAATTAATTAATTTTTATGTAAGGTACCTTCGGCTGGGTTCGAATCCCGCTCGTAACACTAACTTTTTCATTTCAACTATTACCTTACATAAAGATTAATTATTTGAATAACGCTTAATTTGTTTTTTAATTTAGATAATTTGAAAAAGGCTATAATTAGAATTCAAAAAGTTTAATTATTGAAAACGTAATTAATGATATTAATGAAGTTAGAAAGAGTGCCGTTCAAAATGCAAGAAATAAATGTTTTCTATTCCGCTAGAAAATCTGATACCGAATGGGATTTGAAGGGCCTGGGAAAGTTAGATTCGGAAAAAAAAAGAGTCAGAACAGGTTAGGTGGTAAAAAAATGTGTTGCTCCTGAGAATAACCTTTTTCGGCTGACGTTGCGAACAATGTAGATCGGTTTGATAGGATCGCTTAGGTTTATTGAGTCGGACGTCGGGCAATGCCTTTCCCAGTGGGACGTCGTGGGTCGATGTCCAGAAGTAACTCGCTCGTGGGATGGGGGCCGTTTCTCCGGAGACCCTCTCCCGGCCGGATAAATTGACAGATGATCCTTCGAATCGGGGATTGATATTTTCTCGTCTATCTCGTCCGAGACCCGCGGCCCTGAGGAAGCGATACTCAGTAAACCTGAGGTTACGCAACATCGATCCGTTATAGTTAAACCCAGGAAGGAAATTAGCCCTGAGGGATAGTCGAGGCACGCTCCTTGACAGAGTCAATCCAGATTGTCGTAATTGGCCCAGGAGTCATCAGGAGGATGGTGAAAACACTGGGGAGTACACTTGCCCAACATCCCTGATTTATATTCCAAGTGAAAATTACTCAAAGCATTAAAATTGCACAAAGTTTATTGCTTTAATAAACCATCCTTTCGAAGAAACTTGAAATGAATCTTGTTTGTTATAAAGTTACCTAGATAAAAATACATTTTTCTGATTGTCGAATAGTACAGTTTTTACACGGACATGTACAAAAACATTACTCACCTAAGGATGAAAGGACAGTTAAGTAATTATTATAAGAAACCCAATGTTTTGTAATGTACTAATTATTATATTGTATTATGTATTTTATAAAACAAACGAATACAATATCTTTTTTAAATTAAACAGATTAAATCATACATTAATATCGATGTAACTATTTCGAAAACCGAATTGGTGAAGAGCCATAGCTTAAAAAAGGTTATATGAAAAAAATTATCTTATAGTGAATAATAACGAATTGTAAAGTCATGACGGAGAATATAACTTAAAATATAAGTAATAATTCACGAGATCTAAAGCCCGCCTGTGTGACTGTCTCACTTAATTGAAGGTCATTCCTTGGCTCCCTATATGGATCGATTAGGAATGTTGACCGATGTAATTATGCTCGAGCACTGCAGCGGATCTTCGGGTCCCCTATTCCGATTTCAGGATGGCCTGGAGTAATTCTGTTCATATAGATCTTTTATTTGTAATCGAATTGTTGTATATATATATATCAATTTTTTTGATAGATGTATTATCTGTTTCGTGAGAATGAATTTATATGCTTGAATGTGAAAACAGGGACTTGTCTGAAAACGTAACAGTTTCTATCAGTGTTTCCTTCCTCTTAGAGTATAATTTCAAAATAAAAAATAAATCAACATATCAAATTACGCCACTTTTTTGTAAAGCAGTGTATTAAATAAAATCGAAGAGAGATGTGCACCTTGGGGAACACCAGAGGAAACTTACTACTTAGACTCTTAACGTCCTAATATCCGATGTTAGTTAAATAATTAGATATCCATGGCTAAAATCGCCAGTTTTGGTGACAGATCTCACTTTTGACATTAGCAGATTGTGGGAGACTTTATCAAATGTCTTAGAGAAATCTGTTCCTTGTGTGTTCCTGAGAAACCTGATTACCACATTCAAGTTGTGTTGACGGGGAGAGGTTAAAATGTTAAAAAACATAAGAAAAACTACTTAGAAAAGAATCTATTGTTTATCTATTGTTTAAAACGTATTAACACATTTTCATAATCGGTATTTCGAATAATATATAATTGACCCTCAAATTCAACAACTGCATTTGAATAGTGTAAGTAAATTGAAGTTTATCAGAACATTTTTAACGTATAGAAAGAGTTATTTCATAAGAATAACTATAAACTGAATTTTCTTTTAAGCAATACAAGCCAGAAATTCTGAAAGGCTTTACAACGCACGAAGTTTATTGGTTAATAAACCGTACTTTCGAAGAAACTTTTGATGATCTGGAATGAATTTTGTTTATAATAAAGTTAGTCTGAGAAGAAAATATTTCTCTCTCTCTCTAAAGGGTACAATTTTTTTTAAGAGGGTTAATTTCTTGTATTTTAGCGTTACGTACATAACGAGGCTTAAACAATTATAAAACTCTAAAGATTTTTTAAATAATAAGGTTAATTATCAATAGGCCGGATCGTCCGAAATGCTTTTTGTGTCAAGAGCAGGACTGAGACATGATCCTCCGAATGTGTGAAATGCAAAGAAAGGATCGTGCTCGCCCGGTTGAGGATAGGCCATACCTGATTGACACGCTGACCCTGCTTTTGGGGGAAACCCCGCACAGGTGTCTCGCTTGTAGAGATAGGATGCTCGGTGCCGAGGAGTGCCACGCCTTGGTTCCTTACAGGGAGCGAGCAGGCATGGGACCAGACATAAAGAAATTTCTTGGGTACGAGAGTGAATGTTGGGCCCCTGTTCCGATTTTTAAGGGAAACGGGTACGTTTCTCCACCTGTAAATATTGTAAATAATATGTATAATTATTGTGTAGCTGTACAATGTGTATGTATGTGTATATTTGATTGTTCGTGTGAATAAGTAAAAGGTGGCGAAACATCGGCAAAAAAAAGGTAAATTCGGGTTGTTAATTAAACATATGTGTCAGTCATGTAGACTCAGGTTGCTTGATATGTCTCACATAATTGAAGGGTGGTCTCATTCCTTGGCTCCATATGAGAGCAAGTAGTTCGATGGTAGTTAGACAATAGTAGTTCCTATACGCCGTGTATATGTACATGCGTGTGCAGAGTTGATCTCTTGATGAGGTCCTAAGAGAAAAACATTTTGTTTTGTTGAAAAGTACTGTTTCGAATGGACATACGTAACATTGTGACATAATTACTTTTACACTGTTTAAGAAGTCTAATTTTTTTCAGATAATGTTAGGGTCAGTACAAATGTAATATGTGATAAAATGGATTTTCATCTTTAAAAAAAAATCTTCTGTAATTTAAAAAAAAATTAAATTTTCTTCCTATTATGGTTTATTACTACACTAAATACCAAAAGTATGCATTTCTGTGAAAATGTATATTCAATGCAGTAATAAAAAAATTGTAACACTTTTGTTTGCATTTTTTTCTTTTTACCGTGTGCTAAATCTGAGTTAGGCCAAACGAAAGGAAACCTTTCATTCGTAAACTGAAACATGACAATTGCTATTGTATACATTTTTCTGTTTTCATTTGAATTTACGTCGTTATGATCGTATCGTGGGTATAGCGTGACAGACAGATCTTGGATTTACATACATTACCATATCAATACTTTTTTACTATATGTTTTTTCTGTTTTTGCCTTGACTTGTTGGAAATTAGGAAGATTGAACATTCTTTAACTGTAATATTATCATAAAGCGGATATGTTATATATGGAGGACATGTCGTAATTTACTTCAATTTATGGTGCTTCTATTAGAAATGAGTAAGAATTGACTGTAATTTTGTTTTAGCTTTTCAATTTTGATTTTTTGGTTTGTGGTAGAAAACATTTTCATGTGTTTTTTTAAATAAAGAAGTACATACATTACTTATTTACATTTAATTGGACTTTTCGGGTATTTACCAACTGCCTTTT